AAACCAAAATTTGGAGTAGAGGTATAGTGAGATGCCCCCAAAACCCCAAAACCCCATCAAAATTTATTAAATTATTATTTATTGAAATAATTTTAAAATTAGAATTAAATTATTTTTATAATTGTTAATCTAAATTCAGATAGAACATTTAAAATTTTGAGATGCTATTTCTTTTGTCAAGTGCCTCAAAAAATTTATTTTTAATCATCGTCTTCTTTGTCATCTAGATTTATTGATGATGACACTGTTTTCCTGTATCTCCCATCAGATTTAATTTTCAAAACTATTCTTGGTTCATCATTAGAATCATTTGACGAATCCTTGTTTTTACTGCTATTAACACGATCTTCATATTAATCCTTATTTTTCTTTAATAAATCATCAGCCCCATTTTCATCTGTTACAAAGCTATCTTCTTCAAATATATCTTAATCATTGGCCTTATAACTTAGCTTAAAACTGTTGACTCTTCTATATACTACTTTGAACTATTCGTTCTTCAAGTTACCAATAGCTCTAATTATTTTAACTCTTCTAATAGCATATAGTGCTAACCCATTAGCTATTATGCAAAGAGTGCCAAATATCCTAAAATACTTAAGCACATATTTAATTGCTAATTGGTTCATAGTAAGTGGAGGATTTAGTGGCATGATTTCAGTAACATTTCTAATAGATATCACTTATCTCATTTCCATCAGAACTTCTTGATAAGCATACATTATCCCAAATGCAAAATATCTACCGTTTATAATCATGTCAATAAATTCAAGAAATCTTACAAGATACAAGAGAACAACATTACTGTCTTTACACTCTTGATAATAGAGTAAGTGCCAAAGAATGTCAGAAATATGTTGAGAATAACTTCATGTAGATTAAAGCCATCTGTATGCTTTCTTGGTGAATACATAGCTACAATATTGAGTGAAAGGATATTGACAAAATTTATAGGCATTAATATGAGACATAGCTTCCTCCAATGCTTCTCATGTCTCCTATATCTGATAAGCTGCTGATTATTTTCTTCCATTGCATTTTATTACTTTATAGCTATCATTATTGGATCACTCAAGCTATTGTTTCTTTTAACGGGTGTCATATCTTTTGATAATCTCCTTGCTTCGGTGTTCAGATGAGGTTAAACACTTTGTAGTCTCGAAGTAGGAGATTTATTTAATAGAATTTCATTAATCTCTAATCTCTCAATTGACTGAACAACTCCAGAGGATTTCTATCGCTCATAAGTTCTCATTAAATATTAATAGTATTATAATAAATTGGAAAAATTATTGTCCTAATAGTTCTTATAATATATTCTAGGGGTTTTGGGGTTTTGGGG